ACATGTTTATGTTCAACAACCATCCTGCATATCTGTTTAATGTTTCGCGAGACGCTTGGTGGACTCATTGCGGCAAAGTGGCTATTTCCTATGCAGCTTTGGTAGGAGCCATTCGACAGGAAATATAGTACTGAAATAAACTAGATTGAAGGCAGTAATTAGTGAAGCATATATATCTTTTTGTATGGGCAGTATCCTTACTCGAAGCTCCAACGGAATTCTAGATTTCCGAGTGTAGTTGTCGTGCGGTTTTAATTCTTGGATAAGGTCCCAGCACAACGACTTCGGAAATCTAAGAAATCTGCTGAAAATCTCCTCCTGCAGCAAAAATGGATCCTCCGTATCACGCAAGCTTGCCAGAATTCGCCTGCGGACATTCCTAGATCATAAGCAAATTTCCATTTATATAATTGTATTTACTAAAAATTGTGGGTAATGTTTTGTTATTTGCCCACGAGTTTTGGGTAAGTGGGCGGAGTCATACCTGCCCATCGAACTCTTAACCCCTGGGGATCCATTTGCAAATGGAATAAAATTAGCAGTTTGACACAGAAAATGTTAACTAGGGTTACGCCGTCCACAGTATTTTTGTGTAGAACCTCTTTCCGCGCTGGTGGCCTTCGGCTGCGCTAAAAAAATAAGCCTCATCAGTCCAACTCCGGCTACGCGATCCACAGAATTTTGCGCACAATTCACAAAACGTGCATATTTCAAACCGAATTTTTCAATAAATTGCTCGGAAATTTTAGAGCTTCGTTTTAATTTAGACCTTGGACACAATAATCTGATATCGTTGGGTAAATAACTACACAGTACCCAAAATTGGGGCTACACAAATATTACCTCGCTTCATTTTCACGTTTTTTTAGGATAAAATAGAAAGCAATTATCTCTTCCTCCATAATTTTCCTTTGTTTGATTGTATATTTTCGTTTTGTGACCTCTTGAAAACCAGCTGACAAATTAGTGACTTTTTTTTTAGCCTAGAGATGTGAGACAGCTTACTGAATACCAATTAGTCTCAAAATCGATTTTCACCACGAAAAGTCTCTATTAGTGACTAGAGACAGCTTACTGAATTCAGCCATAAGTTACTGACAACACCTTGTATTATTCCACCATGGTGGTGAATTAGGATTTTGAGACTATTTGGTATTCAGTACGCTTTCTCACGTCCCTGGTCTCAAAAATAAGTCACTAATTTATCAGCTGGCTAAAAGCAGGTCACAAAAATAAAAATATGGAGGAAAAGATAATTTATTTCCATTTTATTAAAAAAAAACGCAAAAATGAAGCGAGGAAATTTGTTCAACAGACATTTCATTAGGAAATAAACCAAAATTCTTTAATATCATACAAATCCATTGAAAAAAAATTATATTTTTTCGTTTGTAAAACATTTAAATCTAAAGATTATTCAAAAAAAATTAAACTAATAAAAAAATAAAAAATCCTCTACGCTCGAGGAGGACTCGAACCCGGACACTCTCGACCGGCAGCCTAATGCTTTGACCATTCGTCCATTGCGTCTCTTTGGGTGGCGCGGGCAAAAGGCATATATAAACGCTATCAGTTGACTGTCTGTCTTTGTTTTCACCACACATTTTTGGTGAACTTTTTTTTGACTCTCTCCCACTGAATACCCAAATCATCTCAAGTCACAAAAATAGTCACTCATTGCTAATCTCAAATTTAGTGACTTGATATGAGACTGAATTACTGAATCCCAGGGTAAATGCAGCAAAAACGCTTAGAATTAGCTGCATATTTCGGGATGGCCCCGTGCATGGTAACTTACAAAGGTGTTGTTTGTTTGTTCCAACCACTTTTCGGTAGAAAATTTTCATTCTTGGGACGGCATACCCAATCTAAGGGTCTGATTATGCATACTGCGCATAACTTCGCACAACCATTTGTACCAGTGCACTAAAAGTGTAACTTAAGAAAATGTGAAGCCAAATCTAAACTCAACAGATCGCTAAGTTTTTAAAAGTTCTGCTAATTTCTGGGTAATGGAATACATACAAAAAACATACAAAGTACATACGAAATTACAGTTTGAAGTTTATGCGAAGTTGTGCGAAGTTATGCGAAGTATGCATAATCAGACCATAATAGGGCAACCTAATATTCACGCACGGCGGCAGTTTACTTTAAAAAATTTCTCATGCACATACAACTTGTATGGGACCAACCGAAATTGACCGGCGTGCGTAAAAAGCTAACTCAAATTACAAGATTTGTGTTGCGTGACATTTTGATTTGACGTTTGGGCTCAATTGAAATTGTGGCACGACTATGAATTAAAAATTTGGAAGAAATGCAGAATAGCTCCCATATAATAAAATTGTAAAAGGGCTATGTCTGTACATTATTGATATTAAAGAAAAATTAATGTGGGGGCTCTTTATTAGAGCACCACAAGCCAAATCAACCATTTTTAGAATTTTTGTCTGTCTGTCTGTATGTTTGTTCGCGCATCACCCGAAAACGAATGCATAACTTTGAATGCAGTTTTCACCGATGTATTGCTAGTGGTAACTTAAAATATAGGAAGAAAAAAAAATAGAGAGTTGCCACCTGTTTGAAAATTGGAGTTTAAGTAAATTGATAAGAAAAAATTAATTTTGCAATATGGGCGTCAAAAGAAAGAGGCTGAAGAAGGTTTGCAGCTAAAAATATTTTTTTAGAGTTGCCACCTGTTTGAAAATTTACATTTAATTTAATTTATAAGAAAAATTGAATATTGCAATATGGGTATCAAATTGAAGGGGTTTAAAAAATTTTATTGCCGAAAATATTTTTAGGGAGGGCTGCCACCTGTTTGAAAAGTTTAATTGTTTTAAATTGATAAAATAAATGAAATCTATATCTACATCTATATATATAATANAAAATTGAATATTGCAATATGGGTATCAAATTGAAGGGGTTTAAAAAATTTTATTGCCGAAAATATTTTTAGGGAGGGCTGCCACCTGTTTGAAAAGTTTAATTGTTTTAAATTGATAAAATAAATGAAATCTATATCTACATCTATATATATAATAAAATTGTAACAGGTCGATGTCTGTACCTTATAGATATTCAAGAAAAATTAATATGATGGGTTTTTATTAAAGCTACAGAAGCCAAATAAACAATTTTTAGAATTTTTGAATCTCTGTCTGTCTGTATATTTGTACGCGCATCAGGTGAAACCATGGAATTGAATGCAGTTTTCACCGATGTATCGCTAGAGATCTAGCTTCCAATATAGAAGAAAAAATTAGAGAGTTACCTTCTGTGTTTAAAATTTCAATTTAGGTCAATTGATACGGTAAAGTGAATACTGCAATACGGCTGTCAAAAGAAAGAAATTTACAAAGGCTTGCAGCTGAAAATATTTTTTTGGAAGGTTGCCACGTATTTGAAAACTTTAATTTAATTTAATTGATAGCATAAATTAAATATTGCAATATTGACATCAAACTAAAGAGGCTAGGAAATTTTAATGCTGAAAATATTTTTAGGGGATTTGCCAACTGATTGAAAAATTGTATTCATTAAAATTTGTAAAATAAATGAAATATTGCAATACGAATATTAAACTAAAGAGGATTAGGAAGCTTACTTTTGAAAATATTCTTGAAGCGGGTTGCCACTTATTTGAAAACTTTAATTCAGTTAATTTATAATATAAATTAAGTGTTGCCATATGGGTATCAAGCGAGAGTATTTGAGAATAATAAAATTGCAACAGGCCGATATCTGTACATAATAGATGTTAAAGAAAAATTAATAGGGGGTTTATTAGATCAACAGAAGCCAAATATAAAATTTTGGTATGTTTGTCTGTATGTTTGTAAGCGTATCACGCGAAAGCTAATGTATGGACAGTGTTGCCAACTTCTGAGTTTCAAAAAGCACCAAAACTTGGGGAAAAAAGCGTTTTACCTTACTAAAAGCACTAATTTTTTTGTACCAAAGGATACTTTTTTTCACAACAGTTTGTATTTAACAAAAGTAAAAAAATAAATAATATTTATTTATAGCGAATTAGGTACTACAGGTTAAAACTGGTACATTTAGAGAAAGAAAAATCTAATCGCAACAAACGAAAAAATGAATGTAGATTCTTTTAAATTCAGTGCTGCTACAGCTTTAAATATTTCAAATTATTTCATGTTTTAATTATCTAT